CTCGGCCTCAGCTGCGGCACGCTTCGTCTGCTCAGCCTCTTCCACGGCTTTCTCCGCATGTGCTTGCGCAGCAGCAAGCCGTGCGGCAGCTTCAGCTGCAGCGGCTTGGGCGTGTGTCTGCGCCTGCTCGGTTTTTTGCTGAGCTTCGACTGCACGCTCTTTCTCATCACGCAGCTGCCGCAGAGCTTCCTCAGCACGCGTGTGCTCAGCACTCAGCTTCTCTAGCGCAGCATCACGCTCTTGCTCGACAACTTTTAGAGCATCTTCAGCGGCAGCAAGCTTAGCCCCCTCTTCAGCCTCACGCGCAGCGGCAGCAACACGTTCTTCAGCCTGACGTCCAGCTTCAGCAATACGTTCAGCCTCAACACGCTCAGCTTCAGCATGTTTCGCTTCAGCTTCACGTTCTTCAGACTTAAGACGCTCCGCTTCAGCTGCAGCACGTGCAGCTTCAGCTGCATGCTCAGCTTTTTCACGTTCAGCTTCCGCTTCAAGACGTTCAGCTTCAGCCACAGCAGCGGCGCTCGAGACTCCCACCAGAGGGTCTCCGAATAGTGCATGGGGGGTATGCTTGTGCACGTAAGCTGCCGCATGCTCGAAGTTGAAAATTCGCAGATGATTTGGGTCCCGAGTTGTACTCCAGGGGACACTCCAGCCCACGTCTCGCACGATCGCATCGCCATGGGCTATCTGTGCATAGTAGTGCAGCTGCTGGAGGCACTCACGGAGCTGCCGAAATAAGGCCGCAGCATCTGCGCCCTTAGTGTCGTCTTGCTTCAATGGTTTCACCTTCTCTGTCACGTAGTAGAGGTGTGTGCCAGTAGATGACACCCACCACGAATCGACACGAGCAACGCAGCGTCCCTCGGTGCGTGGGTCCTTGACGTTTTCTGCTCTTTTCGGGGGCTGCATCTTCACAGCGAACCAGTACGCGAGCCAGTGCAAGAAAATTTCATCAGCAACTTCCTCATAATGATTCACGCCACCAGGAGTGAGCAATGGAATCACCTTCGTCTGACAGTTCCATGCATACACAAGCGCTTTTTCATGTTGTGGATCCCACAGCGGACACGTTGACTCATAAATCGGGATGTCCATGCTCTTTCCGTGACCCAATGGCAGGGCCTTACCCTTGATTTGCAGAGCCTTACCCCCAAGAATGTCTGCACTATTCGTCTCGCCTGGGACCAGCAGAGCGAATTGAGCTTCCGGATCAGTATCAGAACGGAACTGCGTCATTTCTGAGGCGAGAAATCCTCCATAGTACGGCACACCCTTGTGGAGGCCTTCGGCTCCCATGCCCCTGGTGACCATTTCGCCGCCTACCAGGTCCGACAATGGGTGCTTCTCGTCGTACATTTGCGCCGCCTTTTTCATGCAATACTGCGTGAGCCACTCTAAGAAGTGCTTGGGGGCGTTCGTGTTAGCCTCGAGATTCGCTGGGGAATGACTCCATTGTAGGGGAACAAGCTCTAGGAAAGTTTCTTTCAGGACTTTCTCCTCCATCGTGTTCGTGGCCGGGTCATCGATGCAATTTAGAGAAAACAGAAAAGATGATGCATCAGAAAAATGAGGATACATCCATGCGATGGGGTTCACAGTAATGAGGACGATGGTGATCCTGAGGGCGCTGACGGTCGCCACGATGATGAGGATGATGACAACGATCATCATCCCCATCATCTTCATACAGTAGATACAATATTAAACTACATCAAGGACAAGGAGACGTAAATTACGGTCGTACACGTTGTAAATTGCTTATTCTATAATTTCTAGTCGCGCAACGTGTACGATGAATATATATCAAGAAGTTGTTGTAAAACTGAAAATTGAAATCTTTTACAACAAGAACTAATAAGCGACATCAAGGTCTACCTAGGACTTTGCAAAGTGGTCTAAACTTCTAGATAGAAGAACTAATACTAAACAAAATAGAAAATAGTTCTTTTTACAAGAGCCTTAACAGCGACGGCAACTGGTCACGATTCACGCTTTCGCCAGTATACTCGATCTCCTGCCTTCGAGAGTCGTCGTTTCGCTGCAAAAACCCACGTGCCGAGAAAACAACATCATCTGAGATTATATTTGTAGTTGTAAGATTAAGAACCACAGACATTATTATAAACGAAAGAGCTTCATCTGCTCACTTCTAGACGGGGGCTCCGAATCCACCGAAGAAAAGTAAGCAATATTAACGAGCTACATTAAAAAAAAACAACGACCCTTCCAAACTGCTCGCACTCTCCCACTTCCAAAGAAACCCCAAACCCCAAACTCTCACTCTTTCACCTTTGAACTTAAGAGCTTTCTTATGAACTTGCGAACTTAATTATGAACTTACGAACTTAGGAGCTTCTGAATTTGCGAACTTAGGAATCTATGAATTTACGAATTTATGAATTTATGAGTTTGTTTCTGAATTTATGGGCTTGGGGGTTTCTGAGTTTGTGAATTAATTGCGAACTTCTGAATTCTTGGGTTAGTAAATTAGTAAACCTGTGAGGTTGTGAGGCTGTGGGCTTGTGAGTTTGTGAATTTGTGGGCTTGTGGGTTTGTGAATTTGTGGGCTTGTGAGTTTGTGAATTTGTAAACTTAGGAACTTACGAGCTAATTTCTCAAAGCTCGCGAATCAAGTCCAACAGACTGAGCCTCGGAAAAGCTTGGCGAGGTCGAGGGTTTTTGGGTTTGATAAATTGAAAGCCAAGAGATTGAATTTCGGCAAAACTTGGGAAACAAAGGCAAAAACTTTCGGATTTGAGACTTAGGAGAGAGTTTGAATTTTCGGACCAGCTTGCTAAGGTCGAAGCTTTTGCACTTGAGAAATTCATTGGCGGGAATTTGGATCCCGGCGGGACTTGTTAACTTAAAGTCGAAACTTTTTGGGCTTGGGGAATTCAAATCCAAGAGATTGAACCTCAGAAAAGCTCGCCAAAGTCGAAAGCCTTTGGGTTTGAGCAATTCAATTCCAAGAAATTGAATTCCAGACAAAATTGCTAAAGTCGGAGGTTTTTGAATTTGAGGAATTCAGACCCAAAGTCTCAGGTCCAAGACTTCAGGCAAAACCCTCCAAGCCCGGCACTTCGTTCGGGTCCAAAGCTTCAGCTTGCAAGCCCAGAGCTTCAAAATCAAAGCGCCAAGCTCGAGGCTCTACGCCTCGAGCTTTGCTGAAGCCCAAAGCTTCACAGTGCAAGCGGTCGCGAGCTTCAAGCTGCAGGCCAAGGGCTTCCATCAATCTCGCCCCAGTCTCCACCTCAAAGACTTACGCGCGAAGCTTTGCGCTCAAGACTCGGACTCCCAGCCCAAAGCCCTGCACTAAATTCAAAAGCAGACACACCTTGAGACATCTCAAAAACCTCAGAGACAGAAGCGGCCGCCTCTGTTAAATTCCGCGGCGCCTCTGTTCCGACTTCTCTGGCGCGGACCACTTCGCCAGGAAAGCGCCGCGAGCTGGCGGAAGAGGAGCGGGGGAGGCGCGTCTTCGCGAAGGAAATGCGCGAAGGAGGTGGAGGATTCTGGTGGAGGGAGAGCTATCGGGCGCTGAAGTCTAGTAATATTATCCGAAAAGAACAACTACTGTTTCTAGTGTACTAGATATAATCAATTACTTAGTAGATGCTCTTGAATCACAATAGATGCTCGTGTGGTATAGGAAGATGGATCTTTTCTTCCGCTATAGAACCAGATTCTCCGCTATAATACCAGGAGTAGAAATAAGCTCATTACCTGGGTCTATCAAGAAGTTCGAGTTCATGGTTAACGGGAGGTATCCAACTTCCAGCTCATGAACGGGCATTCAAGTTCTATTTCATCAAGATCAACGGGTATCCAAGTTCTATTCCATTAACTGGGTCTATCAAGAAGTTCTAGTTCATGATTTTTAACGGGAGGCATTCAAGTTCGATTTCATCAACGGGAGGTGTCCAAGTTCTAGTTCATGATTAACCACGGGAGGTATCCAAGTTCTTCTAGTTCATACATGATTAGGTGCAATACCAGAAGCAGACTCGTCGTTCTCATGATCGTAAAGCTGTAGTTGCTCTTCCGCTTGTCCTCCAGAACCAGAATCCCAATAATGATTATTAGAGAGGTCGTCTTTGACAATACACCTACAACACCAGGCGCTAAATATGATGACTGAAACCGGAAAAGACCAGGATCCTTATATTCTCTCAAACAAATATTACCATGAGTAGGGACAAGAATGACTACTTATATAAATGCATAAACTTCGGATCCGCAACAGCACCTCCGACACTCGAGGAAAGGTCCGCCGTCTGTCCAGCACTTGCTCCATGCGAGGAATCCTTGTCCGCTGTCGACCAATTGTTTTGGAAAAAAGTGCTGTTCCTCGAAAAGAGCCCGCGTGGTGCGAGACCCAGGACGCCAGTGGTGCAGGAGGTACCAACGCCCACAAGTCGGAGCAACGAAGATCGCATCCGCATTTTGCCTGCTGAGGTCGTGGGAGGTGGCATCCGCATTTTGCCTGCTGAGCTCGAGGGTGGCATCCGCATTTTGCCTGCTGAGCTCGAGGGTGGTCGCATTCTACCTCCTGCGTGGTAGATGTTGTAGTACTAGTTGTTGTTGGGAAGGACCACAATGAAGTAGAACCAATTAATTGCTGGGACGGAAAATGACGTACAAATAGCTAGGGGTTAACGTTAAGAGATCCTTTTGCGACCAAGAATTATCCTAATGTTTGCGCTGTGGCAAGAAGAGAAAGCTTGGAAGACAAAAGGGCAGTTAAATGTATGGCTATGGGAAGATGACGAGTACTTCTATATGCCTAATCCTAATCTTCCTTGTTTATCGAAATGAGAAGATTGACTCTTGTTTTTTGAGCAATGAGGAAATCCTAGAGTCATCACAGGAGCGAGAGTGACGAAAGAGGAACAAATAATTGCTCTACTAGATGAGTAGTATAATTAATAGGCGTACGTCTACGATTGCGATATACAAATTCAAGAATACAATTGGGATGAAATTCAAGAATAAAATTGGGATAAAATTGAAGAATACAATTGGGATGAAATTGAAGAATACAATTGGGATGAAAATCTAGAATACCATAGACCACATGGGGATGAACATGAAATCCTAGAAAATATCTTCAGGGGGATGCGTTTTCAGGGTTCGAGGCGTGACAATTGATGATGTTTTTCCGAAGAAAAGCGTCTATCAGCTGTGTTAGGTTCGTTTGATGATGATTTATGTCTATTAATTACAGAATCGTTAAACGCTTCTATCTAACAGAAACAGAGTAAGTTCTTTGTCATGGAAAAATCCTCAACGCCTCTTCTTCGCTCCGTTTTTCAACAGAGTTCTCTTCACGACCGCTCTGAAAACAGAGCGCTTACTGGCTCTCTCAGACTACACTCCAACTACAGAGTTCTTCTTCACGACCGCTCTGGAAACAGTCAGAGTGCTTCTGCTTACTTCTCCGTCTCTGATGACAGAATCGCCGAGTCGTTGATCTTCATCATCTCACAGAAGATATTTAGCTCGCGAAGGACTGCATTCATTCATTCACTCATTTACCTCTTCGTGAGGTGTCGCACACGCCGCACAGTACTTTAGTCATATCTTCGAACATGTATTTTACTTTACGTGACTCACTCGAACACCAGTCAGGATATCATGAGCGGCTCAGCTACGCTGTCTTCTGGCCGCTGTCTTCTGACTGACGTCTTGCATGCTAGGTTAATTTCGGAAGGAGATTGAATTTCGACGTGATGCACGCTTTAAAAGTTTTGTCTACTGTACAACTCGTAGTAGTGTGTCACTTGTCTGTACTCGTAGAAGTAGACTAGAAATGGAGGTGGAAGAACGTTTGCCTTGTTCTAGTAGGACGAGGTACTCAGAATCATATTTAGGAAATATAATTAAGAAAGTACTCAGAATAATTCTGTTTCGCAGCAAGCAAGAGACTGCAGCACGCTTCCTTCTAGGAAAGTGAATCGATATTTAGTCTGCCGCTCAAAGAACAACTTAATTGGCAATTTTTTTGGATAAATATTTATTGAAGTTGTAGAGGAGTTAATTTCTAAAAACAGGCTAGACATGTTGCCGAATAGATTCAATTACTACCTAGTACTCTGTAGTCTGTGCACAAGACCTGGATCACGGTCATAGAATGAAGCTCGCAATTGAACGCCTTCGATTCATGTTTTAAGAGGAGCCATCTTCATGCAGTAGAAGTAATATGTATACTATAAAAGTACATATTAAAAAGTCTACAGTTGTCGTTGTGACAAGGCTAAGTCGTCTACAGCGATCATAAGGCACAAGCTCCTATGGCTGACATGCCTTTAGTACGACGACCTACGAAGAGAACTGCTATTCTTGATCATCAGAATCTTACTACGGCCTTGTTTCCTCATCAGTAACGACCTTGTTTCCTCAACAGCTTACGACCAAAAATTCCAACAAGTGGTCATTTAATTTCAGCATCATGTTGCACGACTCCTTCTTAGAAGGCGTAGTACAACTGATGTCTTGGTCTTCACCTACGTACTAAAACTAAGTAATATTCTTCACGCTCTCGGTTAAAAAACAGAGGACCATGATGATCGAAGTGATGCACCATATATCGACGTTTTTACATCAGCATGATATAGTTAGAGGACTCTGTTGTTCCTAGTCCTAGTATTCATTCTGCGTTCCCTTTTCAACAATAAATTTTTCAAAGATCTTGTTCTACTCATAATTCATCTGTGTCGGTGTGTTCCCCTTCGCTGTTGTTCCCTTCTTAATAAAAATAGTAAAGTATCTTGTCCCTTTATTTCTGCTTTTCAATAATGTTCTTGTATCATTTCTCTAAAGTCGTCTCTCTATAATTTCGTTCGCCTCACTCACTCTAGTATGTTCCCTTTTTTGCTGGCCACAAGGTGGATCATCTCGCTTTCAGCTTCTACTTTATTTCACCTTTCTTGTTGTCTTCTGATCCATGTTGACGTATAACATAAAAGTATAAACCTCGAAGTCCCCTTTTCTAAATACTCTTCTACTCTGGAACTACGCCTCTGGAACGGGGGTTCCTTTGGAGATCACTTGGTCCTTGGCAATCTGGCCTTTAGCGCCACCCACTAAATTTTGCACGCCAGGCCCGCCTTTTCCTTTGACTACTACACTGGTAGCCGCTCCAACCAACATGTTAGAAGAAGTAGAAGTGGAAGTAGATCGTAGTTCTTCATCATGATGTTAGTCGGTTCGGATTGGACCTACGACTTAGCTGAATCTCTTTTGAGATCATAGCTCTAAGTGTACTAGTTGTAAAAGTAGTTTTCGAAAAACTGAAGCAGATAGTGTAGATCTAGAGGTAAAAAGTAGACATTGTACTAGAAGTAGACAGGGCAAAGTCATGTGGTGGAACTAGTAAGACTAAGAAGTATAGTAGACTGAAGAGAAGTAGTGCAGCTACAGATAGTGTACTACTTCGAAACAGGTAGACAAGGCAGAGAGAAGCAGTGTAGGTAGAGAGAACAAGCAGTTGCAGCAGTACTCTGGATTAGACATAGTAGCAGCAGTAATGTGGGCAGAGCGAAGCACTTCTTGTAGGAGTAGACAGGGGGGAAGCATTTTAGCGGCTTGCGCTTGTATCAAATACATCTTCATGAATTCTCCTAGCCGTATAATAAATTGATAATAGTCGTATCTTAATTAGCAAGAAAAATAACTTTAAAGCCAAAGATTTGACGAACTTGGTGAGGAGGTTGAGAAGCTTTCAGCTCTCAGCTGCTCCTAAAAATAAAATTATGAATGTTGACTCGTAACATTTGATGCGGGCGATGCGCGTGTACGCGGAGGGGCGCCGATCTTAGCTTGAAGTTTGGACGCAAGCAAATCTTGCATGGCATCTACCACCTCCACCTTCCTCAAGGCATGATCCAGCTTGCTTGAGACACGACCGCCGACCACTGTGGTATCGTTCCTGCGTCGATCTAAGAGGAGAGGCGCAAAGAGCCGATCACGTTCCGGAATCAAATATGAGCGCTGGAACCGCGGTCCTAGACCTGGTGAAGACGGTGATGTGATCAACTTGCTCAGAACATAAACAAAAGAGGGCTACTTCTTTTCTATGGTACTAATATACTGGAATTTGAAAAGGATGCTTCTCTTCTATGGTATACCCCGCAGGCCGAGATGATCGTCCCTTGTTTATATTTTGATCCGCGCTGACCAAGAAAGAGGAGCTACAGCCCACGAACGAGCAGCTAGATGACTCAACAAACCGTAACAAATTTGAAGTTGTTAAAGTAAGTAAGAAGAACAGAAAAAGCATGTTCGCCTTCATCAATTGTAGCAAGTCACGCAAAATATATCTGATACTGAATGTGAGCGAGAACTTAGTTAGTAAACAAGTGAGGGACTAGCGATAAGACGTATCTAAACAACAAATGCAACATCAAGTATTAAGTACTCTGGTCTCTGGACAGTTTTAACTATATCAAAACAAAAAGAGCACATTTGTAGTCCTCTCGTACTACAACAGGGAAAGGTTCTCTAGCACCTCCACTAGTAGATAATGTACCAGCAAGATTGTAGCATTGTGCTCGAACTGAGCCGGATCGGTGTCCCTCGCGAAAGATGTTTTAGAGCTTGAGGGATAACGATATTTCCTATACAACAAGAGGACGAAATCATCTCATAGACTGGAATCCCTACGCAACCATAGGTCACCGTATTCAGCATTGTAGTTTATGCTCCACTCAGCACGCACTTCTATAAGATCCCTAGACTTCTATCTCTGTGTATAGGGTGGATGGATCAACATTACATTATTTTACGATACTTGAGCGATGATCTTACCTATGCTGCACTCGGTTCACGATGTTTTGCCAGCACTTGGTAGAAGGACTGGGATTTTATTCATTCATTGCGTCTCAAGTGATCATATCTAATCACCGGCAAGACGAAACATTTACTGGGAAGAGAAGATACTCTTCTTTTTCATAATGAAATAGAAGTCATGGCATTACTTCTAGATAACTATGGAGACAGATCCTCACTACTAGATAACTACCTAGCCAGAGTAGAGAGGACTAATGATCTACATAATACTTCTACGAGTAAAAAAGTAAGCCTTAAATGTTGGTGCCACTATGCACTGTCAAACGCTTTCCCTGGAGACGCTCAACATGTCTTTGCTTCTCGCGTCGGCATTTCTGCCGTTCTCGTTCGACTAAACGGGCGTGACGCCGGGACCCAGCATACCAGCAGCGAGCGATGTTAGAGGTACACTACGAGGTAGGAGATCCGCAGCTCATAGAGGAGGAACTGGATTACGAGATAGATCCGCAGCTCATAGAAAAGGAGGAGGAGGAGGAGGAGGACTAGAACCATACTACTAGATGAAGCACAGGACTGATAATCATACCCTAGGATCATGAGTAGAGCTCATAGGACTACTGCTATGTAGAAGACCTGGCGTAATACAGCTATAATAGTAGAAGAGCGTATAGTAGAGCTATTAGGCACAAGCAGGCACCTGGACGGGGGCGCAGGCGGTCCCTTGGGCCCCTTTTGAAGCCTCCCACCACCATCCGAGGCCCCTAGGGAACAGTGAGGCAGCTGGAAGGGAGCGGAGGGGGGAGGTCACTGGGCCCCCTTTTGAGGCCTTCCCCCCCGGCAGACGCCTTAAAAAGGGGGGCAGGGCGCCCGCCCCCCCCCGCTAGGGGGGGGGCGTCGCCCCGCGCCCTGAAACATATATAATAGAAGAGCGTATAGTAGAGCTATTTTTACGACTAAGCTATAAAGGTAGAAGAGCGTATAGTAGAGCTATTAGGACTAAGCTATAAAGTTTGACATCATCCTTTAAGTGCTTGCTTTTCTTCAGACAGAAAAAGGCGTCGAAAAACTTAAATGACATGCTACGAAAGTAGTTACTTTAGAGCTAGAGGTGGGCTATTAAAACTCTAAATCAATTTGGCGCTATTCTTGAATTACTTGCTTCTTCTAACGTCTGGAGTACTAGAAGTTACTTCTGTGTTCTAGAAGTTACTTCTGTGTTCGCTTCTTCGATAGATCTACTCCTAAATCCACCTAGTAAATCTGTATTAATTGATTTTCAAACATTTTGCACTAGTTCTTGCCATAACAAAAACCGTATACTGGTGCCAAACCGCGATCATCAAAGGAATCTCCAAAGCGAGTTCTAGCAGCAGAAAAAGCAAATACGGATTCCACGGCATCATCTGGAAAGGTCGACGCCATAGCGCCAAGATTAGAACAGGTAGGTGAAGCTACATTGCTGGTTGAATTTTCTCGTAGCTTAGTTGCATTGATGGATTGACTGACTGATTGATGTGCGCGTACCCCTGATAGGAAGGTACTGCTCCTAGAAGTACCCGTAGAAGAGATAAGTTCTCATAGTGATCATGACCGAAGCCAAGACGCTGACAGATCAGGCATCATGTTGAAAATTCATTCGAACAAAATCAGTCTGAAGATCGTAGTTTAGTGAAAGCACAGACGGTTAGTAATTTCAACGTGTGCATATAACTATTAAATTCATCTACTTCTATCAGTGATTTAGAATTACTAGATGCAGATATACTGAAGATATTAAACTGACAAAGTAGTCGCGTAGTCTACTACTGTAAGCAACGTCTACTCGCGTTGCTTTCCTACAATCGACAACAGTTTTATCTCTTTTTATTTTCTAGAAAATACACTAGACCAACTACAAGATGTAGATCTTGATCAACTAGATGCGCTTTCCACGACTCTTTCTAGATCTTGACCTACTAGATAATTTCCTCAAAAAGTAGATCTACTACAGATGCACCCTACTTATTATGTAGTAATTCCAGGAAAGTAGATCTACTAGAACATCTAGTTGCACCCTTTCGTCCTACTACTAGATGCACAACCCTTTCCTTCTACTAGATGCACAACCCTTTCCTTCTATTACTAGATGCACAACCCTTTCCTTCTATTACTAGATGCAGCAACCTTTCCTTCTACTACTAGATGCACTTCATCTCTTTCCTTAAAAAGAACGCCTTGGCTGCCAAGATACCGGTAGCTCCATAGAACGCACGAAGGTCGAACTGGTACAGTGCAGTTCCTCTTTCGCGGAAAAAGCCGGCAAGAATATCAAACTCGCCAGGCATTTTTGCTTGAATTAGCACAGGGGTTCTAATTCTATCTTCTAAGATTAAGATCATCATGAAACAACATACTAGGCCTTAGATCATTGAAGATGCCTTTTCTAGGTTTCTATCATAAAACTTGGAAGGTCACTGAAGATTAGGGGTTTTATCTTCTAAGATCATCATAAAACTTGGAAGGTCACTGAAGATTAGGATATATTAACGATCATTGAAGATTATATGGTCAAGAAAATGGATGGTCAAGAAAAACAAAGGATCATCGACATAGGGATACGCATAAGTCTGTTGAGCTGCAATCATACACTTGTAGTTGTATGGTTCTGGTATTTGGTAGCCTGAGTTTGATCATAAGGGTTCTCTTCTTGTTTTCCCTTATGATCAAATTCAAGTTACCAAATACCGGATTCCGGTATTTGGTAATGGTTCCGGGAACCATTCAACACTAGGTACATAGAAGATACTACTGTGGAAACGGAAGTATAGAAGTAGGCATAGGCTCCTACTAATATAATGTAACTTGTTTGGGCTGCTCGCTCCTCTGAAGACATGAGTTGAGGGTGTTCCATTGCGACCAACAGGATTATACGAGCCGTAATTCTCTGAGCGACGCTGCCCTTGATTGGGACGCCCAGCCCCACCTTGTTCGCAAGGATTTGCCGAAGATGAGGGCACAGTGTAAGGAAAACATCGCGCGTTCCATAGCTGGTGGCTGGCCCAAGAGTGGCACGGTCGTCAACATTAGAGGAGGTTGATTATGATTGATTTTGATTGATGTGCCAGTGCCTCGCGAGAGGTTGAAGATCTAATTGCTTGCATCTGAAGTGAGAGCTTTCATCCTGCCTTGTTAGGTAGAAGTTATATCAGAGAGTTCTTCTATCATTGGTTAGTACCATCTAGGTCTAGATCAAGTTACCTATTCGCGAAGCGATCATCTTCAGTTTTCCTGTTAGTTGTATTTTGTTCATCTTCATCAATATGTAAGTGAGGCTCTCTACTAGTCCTCGTCGAGTACTCTTCTTTAGGCTCTTCATCTTGTTTGACATCGTTTCTCCTTAGAGAAAACGAACGCACTATATATAGTATCTAGATCATTAGAAGAACAAGCCATAAAAACCACGTCACGCCAAAAATGAAAAAGCTCGACAGGCACACAGACACGTAACTGATGTGGAGGCGGAAGTTGCTTCACTTACTTAGGTGAGGCGAAGGTGAGAAGGTCCTCTACTTAGACACGTAACTGATGTGGAGGTGAGAAGTAGGCGGTCCTCTACTTAGTAGAAGAACTCAGAAACAACAAGTAGTTGCAGGGTAAATCCAGAATCTTAGAATCAAAAGCATGAGCAAACAAGAAGTAAATTAGACCTGCTGAAAGTACCTGCTGAAACGAAAGACTCTATAGTCGGAGAGGTCTAGAGTAATGCGTGCAGCGTGGTCCGTTGGGTCGATCACGTGTTTCATTGTGAGCGGCTCTGAGGCCATGATGCCTCCGATGGAAGCCACCTTTTTCTCGATGATCGACATATATTGCGCTACTTTCCCTTTCACGCCACCGATATTAGAAACATTCATAAATATTGTACTTGGAACTTCTCCTTTCAGAAGAGTCGCTGGTGAAGAAAGTGGTTTAGGCCGGTCATCTAGTCTTTTGTTCTTTGAAAGCATCAAATTCAAATTATTTCCACAAATAGAATCACCAAGACTTCTAAATAAAACAGATGAGGCAACACATCCCTATCACTACTTACAATGTAGGAAAGGGATCGATCTGGGTCAATCATGCCTCATTGAGTTATCAGATAAGTCAATCAACTACATTGCTTCGTCTAGCACAAGAGATTGTATCTACTTCTATTTTTTTTGATGTACTACAAAGTTGAATGGATTAAATACAACATTCCTCTACATGAAGTATGAAGAAGATGAAGGACCACCCTCACCAGTATTAATTCAGCTATTCTAAATTTAAACTGAAATCATAAGCAAGAAAGTAATACTCATAGTTACTTAAAACAAACGAAATCATACTGAAAGGAGAGCAACGGAGCCATTACTCATTCAGGAGTCCTGATTTCCCTACAAGATTTGTCTTTTTGTTACCTGCTGGGTCTATACTTATCTATGACTAGTGGTAGGACTAGTTCTCTCTTGTTCAGTAGTAACTAGTAGTCCTAGTTCTCTCTTCAGTTGTAGTAACTAGTACGTAGTACTGGAACAACTTTCCTTCACATAACAGCACCTTGTTCCTGCTCTTCAGCTGCGGCGGCTTCAGCTTTGGCTTCTGCTTGGGAGGCGTACTTTCGTTTGTACCCCGACAACACGGAATTGCTATCTCCAGCACCATTGGCAATGCACAGAATCAGCAAGAAGTCGGAGATGAGCATGTACACCGTAATCAGTGGGAAGACTAAGTTGCACACTGTCATTAGAGTTGGAGTTCTAGTGTAGAAGAACAAGAGTAAGAAGTACTTCTCCCGTCGTGTTGTCAAGAGGAATAAACGAGATCATGAAGATGTGATCATAATATGTGATACAACTGATTGTGAAACTCTGTGTATAAACAAGTTCAAGTTCTCGCTTCATATCTACCCAGCAGAGTGAGAATGTACTGACTCTTTAATAAACTTGCAGCACTTATTAATGCATTACAACTACCCAACAGAAATATCTTCCTCTGTCCTTCACCCTCACTGTACTTGTAGATAAATAGCTTCTTCTTTTCACATAAGTTCACCATGACTCACTACTTCTAGATCCATTAGCATTATACCTATGACTATGTTCACTTTTCTTCTGTTCACTACTTCTCGATGAAAAGGTTAGGTTAGGTGTGGGTCCAGTAGATGAACCAGCAGACTTTTCTTCTGTTCACTACTTCTCCCTCGATCAAAAAAAAAGAACTTCTAAAACTTCATCTACTTGATCTGCTACAAGAACTTCTACTTCATCTACTTCTACTGTTCCCATATCAAAAAAAAGAACTTCTAAAACTTCATCTACTTCTACTGTTACTTCTAAAACTTCATCTACTTCTACTGTTCCCATTAACTTCTATTCCCATTCCTGTTCCTAAGTTGAGCATCCAGAAAGCGAGGAAGAAGGCTACCTGGCTCCCGAAGAGCTCCAGAGGGGTCTTGTCGTCCCATTCGAAGAGCCAAAAGTTCGCAGCATACACGGGCTCGATAAAGGCCTTCTGATACTGCTCTGGATCCTGGTGTTGAAAAAATGCAAAATGGAGAATTGATTGATTGATATGCCTGACAAGAGGTTGGTGTAGGAGAACTACAGGATCCAGATCAGTACCAGAAGGCCTTTATCGATCATACTGATACAGATTACTACAGGATCCAGATCAGTATCAGAAGGCCTGCTTTATCGATCATACAGGATCCAGATCAAACAGAAGAAGATTACTGATTTCTCTACTATTGCTTTATCCTGTCTTGATTCGCAAGGAAGACGAGAATCGTCGTTATAAAGTGTGTGCAAGGACTAGACTTTTATTGCAGCGATCCATCAAAAAGGGCATCAAGGCGTTAATATCATGATAAAATCAGACTGAGGAAATCCTCCCACTGTGAACCCCAAAAAAAAACACATGAACCTCGTCAAAAGTACTACCCTTATCAAGAACAACGCCTCAGACTCGCATTAGAGTGGGTAGCCAGAATTAGGTCAGTAACCTAGAACAGGTACATGAATCTTAAACAGGACCTCACTTTCAAAACATCAAGACCACACCTTCAACCGTAGAAGTTGGCTAGCCGCGTCTAGACAGTCGTGAGACAAAAAAAAACAACCTTAGACCAGATAGATACAAGAGGCGAAACAAAACACGCACTAATATCACACACAATCCCCAAATAAGTCGCGACGGCTCTATACCCCCAGACAAAAAAAACGCGATACTTACTACCTCTAGAACAAGGCAGGTCGAAGAACTCATCCAAAGAAAACAAAGTATTCGAAAAGCTGAAATATCCGAGCAACTGTACTTAGAATAATAGAAGAGATACCGAAAGAAGAGCAAGGTAGTGAGTCTTATATTTCAGTCACTAACTCGGTTACTTTAAAAAGATTTCGAATACAACATGAATGAAAATGAATACCGGATACGTTCCCCAATAGAAGAGGCGGCAAAAGGCCCATAACAAGCACAAATTTCGAATCAAGTTTGCGCGTTCGACAAAGTAAACCGGACTCAAATTCGAAAAGGCTAGATCGCGAATCGTCAGGTCTTTCCACTTTTTCTATGAAGAATCAGGTTGAGGATAGGTCCGAATCAGGTTGAGGACAATCAGGTTGAGGACAATCAGGTTGAGGACAATCAGGTTGAGGACAATCAGGTTGAGGACAATCAGGTTGAGGATAGGTGAGAAAAGTGCACTAGGATAGGTGAGAAAGGTGTTTTAGGATACTTAGGTGAGAAAGGTGAGAATGAGGGTAAGTAGGTGAGAATGAGAAAGGTGTAGGTTGTGTACTCACACACAAATGCGGGTGTCGTCAAAAACAAGGATATGATAGGACTTGACTCACCTTCCGCAGATTAAGCATAATAGATCCTCCTGCCTGCCTCCTACTTTAAGTATAGTTTTTTGAGTACTATGAAAATGATTGTTAAAAAAAAAGTTTCTTTGTCTCTGCCATATCTTTGGTTTGTGCTTGATGCCGAACAACCGCTGTGATCTTGCACCGAGTCGCTTGCCAATCAGTCTGTATAGAAGCCCACGCATTTTCATGTCTTCCTCTTCTTAGAAGTGGTAGGATAGGAAGTGATCCGACGACCTTCTGAAGATGAAGAAGAGTAACACTAGTAAACTAAAAATGGACCTAAATATACTTCTTGTACAACTATGCGTGCTGAACAACGTAAGGTAAAACTAGCAAACCTGAATCACTGAACGAATGGGCCTAACTTGAGGCATTGCAATATGTTTGACTGGTGCGCTAAGGAGAGACATATAATTAGAAAGCAAGTTGTAATTCTTTGAAAAGTTGACCAACGATAAGCTGCGTTCTTAAGAATTGTTCACTAGTAGTAGTACTAGTACTAGTAGTAAACTAAGAAGCGGATCTCATCAGATGACTATTTTCAAAAAAAAAATACATAAGAATCGAGAATAATGCCCTGAATTACTAAGAAACGTCGACTGACAAGAAGCAAGACTATTTTGTAGTTACTAGTTGATGTACATACAATGATGAACCTTAAGTAACACTAGTAGTAGTAAACCCTTTCGATGCATGCTGATGTTGGAGGTTCGTGTACGCGTACTAGAATTTCCATGTTGATATAAGGATAAGGAAGTGCAAGTGGGAGATTTCTTATATATTTCTAAGTTACACTAGTACGTAAGCCGAGTACGTTACACTGATGTCGATTGTAAAAAAAGCTACGCTAGTTGTACTCTTATATATCTATTAACGCTACTACTAGTAGCTCTTACAAATATGTTCATTATAAGTAACACTAGTAAGTACGTAGTAACTACAACAGTAAGTAGTAAAGCATGCATTTCGATGCATGTCGACTTTGCACTTTGGCTTCTTATTACAGCCTTAATCATCAGACGTGACGCCTGAGGAGGTATCCGTGTCGGCTTGCACAATTTCCTTTGCCTTTGCTGTCGCTTCGTCTTCTGAGCTCCCAGAAGAGCTCGAAGAGCTCCCGGAAGAGGACGAGGACCCTCCAGCATCTACTTCCCGAGCTACTGAGGTATTCAGTCTTACGCTCTTTCTGCTTTTCTTAGAGCTCAAACCGATTCTTTGAGCTCAAACCTCTACTATTTCTTCAGAATCCTATGAAGGAGACCGAAGAAAGTGAGCCCTGGAAATGAATTGTATCGAGCCTTAATTTTCCTTGTTTTTTCCTTCTTTCCGATCGTTTCATCATTTTTTGTCGTGCCCTCTTCATCCTTTTCATCTTCAATGGCTAGCCTTTGGCGCTCTAGAAACCCCGCTGCTAGGTGCGAGGCCTCATTGGTGCCACTCGGTGCGGCAGTCGCTCTCTCCTGCCTCGCACTGTCCTTAGAACACTAAGAGAAATCCATCTTCGGGGTCGTCATCTTGGATCCTGTTTAGTTGTCCCTGTGGAAAAATAACGGGGGGACCAAGATGTACTGTAACAGTTGTAGAAATAGGTAGTCAGTTCTTCTAGCCTTAATGTCAGCTGATGCTGTCGACTCGCGAACACCATGAAAAATGGTCTCGCGACGCGGCTCGCTTTGCGCTTCGCCCTCAGGGGATGCTGCGCCGCGACGGTCATTTGCTGTTGCCAGAGGCACGAGTGCAAGCGCGTCAGCGCTCTTCTTCTCATCGTCGTCTGTGCTCCCGCTCGTTTTACTCCCTCGTACCTTGCTGCCCCCGCTCCCGGTACTCGCCGTCGAAATCCTCTGCGAGCCCCGCGGACCTGCACTGCTTGATCGTCGCTGTTCGCTTTCCTGCATCGTCTTTCCGGCTCGCGCTTCTTCTATTTCCTCCAGTGTCAGCGCGCTCAAACGGCGATACCCCATTTCGCCGGGAATGCGAATGAACCCGGACTTGCCGCCACTACCTTTGCCGAAGCTGGGTCGTCCACCCCCTACTGGCGTGCCAGCCTGGTTGAGGTCCGCTTGGCTTCCGAAACCACTGCCGAAACTGCTAGAAGATAACGCCCCCATACCTACCGTTCTTAGACATAGAAATTGACTCAATCAATCTTACAAAAGTTTTTTCCAAAGTGGTGCATTACAAAATGGCTCCTTACCTTGACTCAATCTTACAAAATAATGGTCCCTTACAAAAGTTTCTTTTTACTTTGTGATCTTCTTTTTTCCTCGTAAGATGCTTGGGGAGGAAGAGAAATAGGTGGATTTTTTCAAGCCTTAACATTCCCATGGACGATGAGCGACTGCCCTTGCCTCCTTTTACTGATAGTCGCTGCATCTGCCTATCGACTTGCATCGCAGCAACGGTGCCTTTGCCTCCAATGCCCTCCAGAAACGCAGGGCCCATAGAACTCGCTAAAGGATCCCTCAAGTTAGAGCACCTCTTGACGTCCGTAATTGACTTTGATCATTCCTGTAAATATATGACAGAACAAACGGTATCATGAGTAGGAATATACTAGCCATAATCAAACGCTTCTCGGCAAAGCGTTTTGCGCGTTCACTCCGCACAGCCCATGGATCTGCCTTTGTTAGAGAAGAGACATGCATTACGGTGTGAGTTTATAGGAAAATCATATGGATGCTTCAGGTTCAATCATCATGAGCATGATTATACTTGTTATAGGGAATGCTTCCAAGAGTTATGGTGTGTTAAATAGGAAAAAATGCTTCAGGAGCGATATGTTATATATTATAAGGTTGTAACCCAGATGCAGTTGATTGGCTGATCCAGTTAATAAGGACCATCATGGAGGTGTAGTTATCGTCAAGGATATCATCATGATACAAGAACTAAGGACTGTCATGGTTATAAGGACATCATCATGATACAAGAACTAAGGAGAACAACGAGAATACTTACATACTTCTCCAGTTGTAGTATTAGTCTTAACTCTAGCATTTTCTTCCACTCCTCTGAGCCTTCTTCGGGAAGGGCTCGCTTTCGCTCCGCTTCGATCTTGTCCTTCGGCAACAACGCCAACGACGTGGAAGCAGCCGTTGGCGGCACTAGAATTTCCGCGACTTGGCCTAGCTTAGATGAGGAAATGTATGCGTCCTTAATACTGTCGCCGTTACGACTCAATATTTCTTTCCAGCAATATTAATTTCCAGGAAATAGTGCCCTAAGTGCTGTTTTTACGACCCTAGTAATGTGTTGCCCTATGTACATCAAGCACATCATCATCAGCACGTCGCAAGTAGTCACCCTAAACTACAACTGGCAAGATGAAACCAAGGGCACAAGGAATAGTGCCCTCTGTCGTGATGAACTATGAAGTAGCCATTTTCCGTGTCATTTCTGTACTTGAGAATAAGTACCGCCCTCTGTCGTGAACTATGAGGCCCTTTACCTTTTCCGTGTCAATATTTCTGTACTTATAAGAATCAGTAACCTAAACCGTAACAATGAAGCCTTTTTCCGTGTCATTTCTGTATTTTCCGATCTTGTCGCTTCTTCGTTTGCGTCTCGCCTCTCGCTTTTGGATCCTTTCCTCTTCTTCTCGGGTTAGCACAGCGTGGCCTGCGTTCAGCACAGACTCGGACATCACGCGTTCGCCCACTGGAATCCGAGCAGATACTATTGGCTCTCCCTCCTTCATTAGAGCAGCTACCGCGAGAGCGAGAGCATCCCTGAGTAGAACGTCCTTGGCTCCACTTTCAACTTCTACACAAATCATGCATGTTGTTAAGGACCACATGGACTACAGGGACATCGACATGCTTCGTTTAATAATAATTTGATTCTTGGACCATGATGTTCTTAATTTTCAGTAATTTACTTTACGGTGGAGCAGACGACCTATCTAGGGAAGAGAAAGAAAAAAAAAGCGTGTTACAATAGTTTTAAGGACATGCACATGCCTTAATTTGACCATCTCGACTATGCCCATGGGGTCATCGACGCGAACCTGCTTCTTGATCGCCTGAGCCGCTTGTTTCCCCTTCAATATCGACGAAAGACCTTGCTCGGCTTTCTTCTCGGTATCACCGGTTGTTTAGAGGAGGATAGGATAGGAGTGGCGTCTAGGTGAGGATAGGATAGGATAGGATAGATTTAGAGCTTTTTGAGAGAGCATTGTAGCCATGCTGTCTGTTCCATTGGAATTGTAGAGGAGGATGGGCTAGGAGTGGGCTCGCCTGCGGAGAGGTGAGCATTCACGACTATGAAGATTACTGGGTATAGGTATCATGTCTTTTGAGTTCTCCCTTGAGATTTTTGCAGATACAGCTACAGGGAAAAAGATGAAAATCCCCTCCCAGGTCTTGTACCCCACACCAGGCACTCACAGCCATGGATAAGTATGAATAGAGTCAACAATCGAGTATCATGCTGTCATGCAGTGTGCACCTGTTGCAGGACAACATGATCACCTACGAGACAATATTTTTGCATAGAAGTTAGTATTGATGATGATGATGGTTGTACCTATACTAGAGGTGGTTGCTGTTCTTTTTAGTATTGAATTGCACACGACATGTAGCCGTAATTTTTACCTGCGTCTTCGCCTTTTGAGGACTTATCCTTGCGTTTCTTGTCCTTTTCACCACCTTCCGCAGAAGCCCGTGCTTCTTTTTTTGCTTGGCGTTTTCTTTTTAAAGCTCGGCAACTATTACTTCTACTACTACTGAGCATTCTAATGGAACTATGGATCACAATGCTTACATCTTTTTATCACTTCTTCTAGTGCGTATAACATTCAAGTTCCATATGTCAATGCTTACAACTTCTTTTTAGCTGAGTGAGTTGAGTTGTCCTCTGTCTTGTTCCCTTGTTGTTCGGGTTCTTGATCCCCTCTATATGGTAAATGTGAGGTACTAGCCCTAATCTTTCTTTTTCAACGGCTTTGGCATCCTCAAGGGCGAGTAGATTGCTGGTCCGTTCCGCGCGCTCTAATAGCATCTGCCTCCGCGCCTCGGCATCCTCCTCAGTCTCTCCGTCATGCAAGATTAGCACTCGTCTACTCAACAATACAAGACAAGACAACGCAATCGCAATGCAATAAATCTCGCACGAAGTACAGACTGATTTAAGGGCGTCGTAGAATGCTAACAAACTCTCGGATGGTGAAGATGGACACACGCACGACTGTCAGAAATATGAACTCTACTCTGGTGATGATGAACACAGACACGACTGTCAGAACTCAGAAATATGAACTAAACTAAGTACTCATCTGATGGTGATGGGCACACACAGCAGCAGCCCGAGTTATAAAAATATCAAGATGATCTTCAGCTGTAATAGTACATAGATGAAAAGCAAAAGCCGAAGCATCTTCACAAGAAGACTAACACATCCAGTAAAGTGTCAGGGTATGAGTCTCACATATCCATTTTTGTGTGAGCCTTAACAGGACCGCAGAGCCTTGACGCATGACCGTTTTGCTTCCTAGACTCTGCGCGCCTTCCTCTTCTTCATCAGGCTTGTGAGAAAACCTTGCCGTGAGCGTCTTCCCTTTCGAGGGACGCGCAGGCGCCTTAATTTCGCCCTCTGCTTCCTCGGTGTCAGCTCCCGGCCCTCGTTTTTCGTCTTGGTCTGCGCCTCCGAGCTTGGGTATGCTGCGACTGCTTAGTGGCCGCCGTGGAGAACCGCCACTGCGTGCACTTCGAGCAACAATATCGTCCCCTCCTTCTCCATCCATGATCGCCGGCAGTTCTTGAGGTCCTGCCTCGCCTTCTGCTCCTTGATCTGCAGCCCGTGCAGCCTCCCTGCGCCGCTCTGCTTCTTCCTCTTCCTCTATTAGAGCTCAGAGCAACGAACTCAATTCTTCAGAATGATCTTAAGAAGGGAACAGAGAGACGTGACGGACCCATGATGAAAATGAACAAACGTATTGAGCCTTAACTCCCGGCGTATCTCGTCGATCGCCTCTTCACGTGCATGCTGATGCTCCTCTTTAATTCCTTTCACCGCTGCGCCCTTCAACTTATTGCGCATAACTTTTGCTTGCACAGCGTGTGCCTCACTGCCTAGCTCGAGACATTAGAAGAAGTAGTGACCAACTTTAAGAAGTGGTAATGGTAGTGGATAAATGACTTCTAAGAAGTGATAACTGACTGGTAGTGCTCCTGGCCCTACCACTTGTACCTGCAGGGTCTTAGTACACACGATCTGTAACAATTATTTGAGCTGCATCTTCATGTCACGAAAACTGTTGACTCATTAAACTACAGCCTACTTACTTACTAGAGCTACAACTGAATTTGAAAAATGAATATGTACATGACAAACGCAATGTGAGCTACAACCTACAAGAACCACTATTGAAGGACTAGCTACCTGAACATTTTATTCCATTACAAATGCTATCTGCTACTTGAACCTCTTGTGCGTGGGCCCTTGAAGTTGTTGTAGTTCCAATACAAATGCTATCTACTCTACTTTCTGCTACTAACTTGTTCCAGTAGAGCTTGTTGTTCCAATACACCAAGTCCATAAAAGTCAGGTGTCTCATCGTCATCCAGTTCGCCTTCGAGTTTTGCGGCGTTTAGCAGCTCAACTTCCTTGGCATCTACCCTCTCCTTCTTCAAAAGAGATCCAGGCTTCACCTCCTCTTAGAGCTCACTACCCTAAAGTAGTTTCATCAGTTTGTAAATCATTTATGTACTTAAAGTAAGAAGTATCTATAGTGATCTTCCACGTCATCCTGAAGGGTGCCTTTTATTCCCCTTGAGATGAAGCAGACTCTTCAGATGAATGTCTCCCTTACAGACAATATACCAAAGATTACACATGTCCTAAGTTTATGCTTCACTCATACTGCAGTTAATGTCACTAAACTTTCAAAAAGATGCCTTAATCCTCGTCGTCGGAGGTCAGCGGATCTGCCAACTCCACATTCTCATCGCCCTCTCGATCCGCTTTCATGTACCAATACTCTCTCTGTTCGGCAATGCGGTCCGCCAACCCTTGCACTACCGTTTCCTCATCTTAGAGCTCAAAACAATTCACTTATTCTTGCCCTCATTTCTTCAGATGAATCCCAAGTAGTCCTTCAAGCCTACCAAGGGCCTCGATTCTTATTTTGTTCGGAAAAGGTACTATAGATCTTAGAAGGAAACCGGAAGGAAATGAGCCGCGGATATGTTGGGGCCTTAATCATCTTCCTCACTGGATTCGCCTTCGCTTTTTCTTCTGAATCTTTTCAAGAAGTTCATCGATGGCAGTGCTCTTGTGACGTTCTCCTTTGTAAACAGCTTTGGTGCACCAGACATTTTGGACGCAGATCCTCCTAACGCTTTGGTGTCATCTTTAGACTCTAAACCGCGTTAGCATCTTCCCTTGGCGCATCCTCCGTCGTGGCCCATGAATTCAAGTAGAAAAAGGCCCAAGGATGATGCTGGGGATGCTTCAGCGATAGCCTTAACATCTTCCCGCTCGTCATCTGCGAGCGCGGCTGCTTCTTCTTCAGCGGTCTTATCGCCCTCGTGTGGAATTAGCGACACTTTGAATGGATTAAACTTCGTTTGCAAAATCCACAGTGGATGCCAAGCTTCGGCCATCTGTTGATGAAATGATGTTATATCAAAATTTTTGTACTGGTAATGTTGTGAGATGTTTGAAAATCATTGGTGTAATGTTGATGTGTGTGACTTGCAATTATTGACGATAGAGTCAACACGACACAACAAAAAGTCTACTTCTAAGTACAACAAGTGCTGGGTACGTTCGTATCCATAAGTACTCACAATACTCAACAAAAAGCCTACTTCTAAGCACAAGGAAGTAGTTAAGTACCACAAAGAGCGTGACTTGCGATGGATAGAGGGTGACGCGTTTGATGTGAAGACGGCGGAGACCAAAGTACATCCATATAGCCAAGTAGGCGTAGAGCCAGATGAAAACCGGTAGTCCGTCCAAGAAGCTCAGATACGGGTATGGAACATCTGGCCGCCTTTAGAAGAGCTCAAGACCAGAAGTTAACCTGTTAACCTTTCACTTCCTGCAACTAGGTTCATCAACTAGGTTCATTTTCATTCTCTCAAACTCAACTCCGAACAATAAATAAACATTCCAAAGCGAACAAAACAGACGAGAGATGAAATGCACTGTGCTGTCAAGAATATTCCAAAGCGAAAACTACAGAGAGATGAAGTCATGACCTGCGCTGTCAAGAATATTCCAGAGCCTTAACAGGTTGGGCAACCGAGTAGCTCGACCGGGGTGCCAAATTGCCCGTTGTTTAGAGGAAGAGTTGCAACACTTATGCTAGAGTTAAGGCTCTCCTTTCGTTGGTCGTTGAGGTTAGTCACTGAGATCGAAGAGGAGACCCCTGGAGAGAACAGGGGAAAATGAAGGGAAAACAAAGGGAGAGGCGTGGGGCCCTTTTCTTTCAGAATCAGTGACCACTGAATGCTGACCTTTGATAGAGGGTACTAAATTTTAGTATCGGGTTCAGAAACGGTGGATGAACTACTCAATATCATCTGCGGAAGGAACAAGTCGTGAACTACTCAATATCTTCGGAAGAACAGCAAAATCTTCTCTTCTTTGTTCTTTAAGTAGAATAACTATGAAATAGAAATTCATAACCCAGAATGTCCCTTTTTTGTTCTCTTATTTAGTTGTACTACGACGTCTACTACTGAGTGACACAGAGAGAGTGCCTTTCGTAAGTTTTGTGCGTCCGCTGCGCAGAGTGCGGCATCGTCCGTCGCTTTGTCGTAGTTGTCCTTGCGATCGCCGTAGTTCCCGTCCGCCACACCGTCAGCCGCGAAGTCTAAGCTCAGCCAGTCCCATCTCCCCAGAAGCCCTGGCCCTTTGCCTTGTGGGAAGCCACGGCCGACTGGAGTTAGAAGAAGACACAAAATATTAATATAGTTAATCGATCCTCAAAATATATTAATATAGTTGATCGATCCTCACGACGTGATGAGTTAATCGATCCTCACGACGTGATGGAGATGCCAATCAAGATCAGGGTTAGGTCAGGTTCGGGACGATCCTTCACATCGAACCCCCCCTGGTCTCCTGGCTCAACTCCGAGGCTCATCAACTACAATTAGTTGCATTATGTCAATAAATCATGTTGATCATCATCAATTATTAAGTACCTATACTAGCTATAATGTTGATCCGCAACACGTGATGAGAGTGCAAATCAATTTGATAATCTCGATCATCAACACTTGGTGAAGGTCGCGCAGATCCTTTTCGAGGCCTTAATGTATACATTGCATGGTGAGGCGTGGCGCAATGTGCATTCTCAAGAAAACTGCGCATATCCCGCAAGGAAGCGGGATTCCACTGCAGGGTACAGGGGTTAGCAGCCTGCGCATCGTAGAACATGTATGAGAAGTCCGTAGCGCCAGCGACGTCCCACCTCGACACTGGCGGATTTGCTACTCTCGTTTCCGCAGAGTTTAGAAGAAGATGGAAGGGGACGATCATACTGAATAATAATATTGAAAATGAGCATGATGAGAGAGGATATGAATAATAATATTGAGAATGAGCATGATGAATCATAGACTTTGAAAGAGAGGAGGATAAGCTGCATCAAAATGAGCATGATGAGAGAGGATAAGCTGCATCATGAGAAGTCCTCTACAATGAATTGTGGTCGTGGAGGAGCACCTAGCGCTAGCTATTAAAAAACAAAAAGTCTATAATAGATTCTCAGAAGTTGTTCTTGGTTCTTGGTTCGACGTCAAAAGTAAGTAGTAGTCGTAAAAACAAGCGGTGCATGTTTTGGACACGCCGCATGTACCAGCCTGCCACGTTCGGGTTGCAGCTCTCGCATCCCATGATTAGAACTCAGCTTTCTAAGCGTCCATCTCAAGATATTGCATCCTAGGTATTCTAGGTAAAGCATAGGTGCCTATTTTCCTTGAAGAGCCAGGCAGATGCCTTGAAGGTGGTCGGCAGCGGCTCTACTTGTGGCTAGCGTGCGGAGACGGATTAGGGGAAGCCATAACATGAACATCTCCTCCATGTCGACGAAGTAAGGCTCTGCCCCGTTTCCTGCAAGTGACGCACTGGGAACCAATCCAGAAACACCAGAACTAAGCTGCCTAAGACTAGTACTAGACGTTGTTCTGTTATTGTGTGTCGTGCTCCCACTTCTTGTTCTAGTACCAGTAGTGGACGTATAATTCGAGGCGCTTTGCAAACTTTCAGGTGAAGAAAGCTCTCGAGGTGTGCTCCCGCTTGAAGATGCTCCAGACCGATCGAGGTGCCTTCTGTTGAGCACTACCTGCAAGAGCATGTCTGACAAATACAACTCGTCGGCAAATGTGTGTTCACCAGTCTCCTGCTGTGCTCCCCTAGCACTGTAGTCCTCTCCGCCTTGCAGCTCCTTCTCTCCTGATGCAGATTGTTGAGAGACGTCGTTCAGTATGCTGCTCATGAACTTGCTTGGCCTCTGCAGTATTTCGCCTATCGAGGAGGCCAAATAGCTTTTCTTTGCAGGAGAAGACGAAGACTCGTCATCATCACCTGGACGAGGAGTCCTGCTGACTATCCTGTTGCTGACTGTGCTTGTGGTGAGAGTTCTCTCCATCCTTACCAGTTCCATATCGAGTGTGGCTAGGAACTCTTCCGGGAGGACTATGTCCTCATCCACTGCTAGTACTTCCTCATCCACTGCTAAGAGATGTCGCTGCTGGAGAAGCTCTGCTCCTGCAGCTTCTGTTGGCGTTAGAGGTGCGTCTTGCACAGCCACATCTTCACTCCTCAGACGACCAGACAAGAACCATCGTCTTTGCCGTATTTTCAATTTAAACAAGGTTGGTTGAAGGTTCATCAACTTTCAATGAAGGCACAAAGGTCTGCAAATAAGGTCATCAAGGATGCGAGAAGTAGATCAAGACGCAATGTGAGGGTAGCCCATAAAAATGCACCGTCTTGAGGTGGCGCCTCCGATTTGCCACGTAACGCTAGTAGTCGCCGTCTCCGCGTCCTTCCTACCGCTAGCTGGGAAAGAACCCGCAACTCCTCCAACTCCAGTTTCTCAAAAGCCTCTTCGGTATCTTAGAGCCGGATGAAACCAACTTACTATCATTTTCAACGACAAGAGGTGTATCATTTATTTCAGAGTCGACAAGAGGTGTAGATTATCACCAACGAACAAGAACTTCCTTCGTTTGTGGACTAACAAGAACTTCCTTCGTTTGTAGACTAACTACAAGAACTTCCTTCGTTTGTAGACTAACTACAAAAACAAACGTTACTAGTAGACCAAGACTAAAAACAAACGTTACAACTAGTAAGAGAGGTGGAGGTGGAGCAACAACGAGGACATAAATTTCAGTGATCCTTTGATATGCGTCTTGCACTAGTTCTGTGCGCCTGGGCAAATCTTCAAGGGTTTTGTAGGTGTCCAGCGCGTTGTCAATTCGTTCTCTGGCGTCTGTCTCGTCTTCGCGCAAAAACTCCTCTGCCTCCAACATTTTGCGCAGTGACTCACTTATAGGACTTCTAGTGCCCTCCATTCTTAGTATATTAATGTTCTTGGATGAGGTTGTAGAGGACGTCGTTGACGAGGCCGTTCCCTTGCGACTTGATGGTGTAGTTGTTCTTGTATTAGCGTCAGCTCATTTTATCCATCTTCTCGGTCCCCTCATCTCGACCCCTTTCCGCCCATGAAATTTACAAGGGAAAAGGGTATTTACGCACCAAAATGACGAGCAGAAAGACGGATAAAAGTAGCTGGCCTTAATTGTAGAAGAAAAGCCACTGCTTCTAGTAGAGGTACTAGAAGTTGCACTTCTTGTTCCGCTGAGAAGTCGACTGCGTAGGCGACGTGCAGGTCCTGTTTTACTCGAGAGTGGCCACGATGCTATTTTGTCTCCTCGAAAAGCCTTCGACGCTTTGAACATCTGCTTAAACGTCGTGACCTCGCGAACATCCCACAATTGCGTAGGCGGATCGGCTGACACCGAGTCCGCGAACATCCTAGTCATATCTGTCACTTTCTTCACGTTCCAGCGTAACACGTTCGGATTGGCCTTTGCGGAACCCTCAAACATCGAGGCCATACTTTCGACCTTGGAACAGTCCCCACGTTAGATGAGTAGTAGTAGTAGTAGTAGTAGTAGTAGTGTACCCAGTCAAGGGGTCGTATAAAAGAGATTTTTACCCAGCTAACTTCTTATTTCATATCATGGGTTCCTGCATCTCCTGCTCGATGTGGCACTTTCTTGTCTTTCATCATAGGAAACTAGAACTACATCACAGGAGCGCAATACAATACCATAGGGGAATACAATACAAAAAATCTCTTTTTTAAGAACTGTACTTCTGACCATAACAATGTGTAAAGTCCGGATCACCTTCCGACATGTTTGCGAACATGCCCTCAAATGTAGTGATCAGTGGCATCTTCCAGTGAGAAATGTTCAGGTCTTTTCCTTTGCTGCCGCGAAACATGTTCTTCACATTGCGTGCTTTTGTGACGTTCCACCCCGTTGTGTTCGGCGAGGCCATTTTAGCTCCATCAAACATCGACTCGAAATCTGTAACCTCTGAGACATCCCAGGTGCTCACGTCTGGCTCGCCAAAGGTCGCGTTGTAAAACATGTTTTTAGAGATAGAGTGGTCTAAGACGAGCGCATCAACAAAGTACTATAACAATATTGTTATACATATGCCTGTCTTCTACAGCGAGAAATTAGTCGTAGAAATGAACTATATTGCGCAAATGAACTATAAATACTGCGCCTTAATGTACCGTGCATCCTTGACCGTGCCCATTTGCCACTTGCCCACGTTCATCTTGAACTGCTTGTTCGCAAAAGCAAAGGAGAGATTTACAAACCCAATGGCGATGAAATTCGGTCCGATGTTATGAAGAAGGAGCGGCCAAGAAAACCTGATGTTACGAATAAAAAACTATCATACTTTTCTAGTACTTACTTAAGAAACTTGATATTATAATACGGGTGGAGCCAAGCTAACTTGATATTATAATTCTCACATCAGGTTTTCGTTTCATAAATGTCGATGTAGTGTGAGTTCATCTTCTCTTCGTTAACGAACCCGACCATGCTTTTCACATTCTCCGTGTTCCATTGTGAAATGTCTGGAGCTGCTAACGGTGCTCCAAGAAACATCCCATCTATTGTCACGACTTTGGTCATGTCCCACTTCGAGACGTCGGGAACCGCCACCAACGCCCCCTCAAACATCCCGCTCACATCCTTAGAAAAGGCCGCTGAAAGAAATTCTTGATGACCTAAGTTCATGTCTATCACCTACATCAACTCAATGCATAATCATTTACATCAACTTCGATCTCGAGGAGTCAACTCAAAGAACTCAGGGCATCAACATCAACCGCTCTACCTTCTCCTGCACCCTCGTGCATCGGGGTTTCAATCTCTCACTTTATAATGTCGTACAAGTGTTAGTCTCATGAAAGAAATTGAACAAGGTTGATAGACATCAACATGATGGAAATAAATTGAAGGATTAATAGACATGATTAAAGCCAAACCGAAGATAGTCATTTTCTGCATAATGTCCAAGGCAGCACTGGTGTCCCACGATGTTGTCTCTGGATTCGCCGCGGCAGCGTTCTTAAACATCCCCGCAAAATTCTTGCCGGAACTGGTGTCCCAGCTCGACACGTTGGGGGTAGCGATTAACGTGCCCTCAAACATATTACTGAAGTCAGTGGCGGTCCCTGTATCCCACGCGGCTATGTCCATCTGCACGTACGGCGCATTCTTCAGCATACTCGAAAAAGACAAAACCGCTGACGTGTCCCAGCTGTTGGAATCCGGTGCCTGTACGGTCGGCGTGTTCTTGAACGTGGACGCTAGACCTATCACCTGCGGGAACTGCGGCAAAACCAAAATCACAGTGGTGAGCTGGAGGCTGCGACCCCTCGCTGGAAAATACTTGTCCAAATATTAGACTAGTACACTCCTTGAAGATGTCGAAAACAATCATCAGCCAGCACGACATCTTCTTTTTCTTTCAATAAACAGATACATTATCCCAAGAAATGAAAATCCTAGCTAAAATAATCATCAACATGGACAATCACATCTCTTCTTACATCTTCCCAAGAAATTCCTGGCTAGAAGAATGTGCTTGAAGATGCCCTGGATGTCCTTTTTAGTCCAACCCTCTTCACGAATTGCTATTTCTTCTTTTCATCTTCATGGAAGAAGATTTCTTCCTTTAAGCCTTAAAAGTAAGACACATCTTCACCCGAGTGCGCACCAGCTCCTAGTCGCCGCCGTAGTTCGGCGAGCTCATCATCTGTTAGAGTCTACTGCTTGATCTCTTCAACATCTCGACCCCCTCATCTCGACGGCCCTTGTTCTCGTCCTCTTGTTGTATTTATTCATGAGAATTATACAGGGGCAAAGGAGACCAATAACAAATATGTTAATGGTGGAGCAGAGATATGGATAAAAAAAGCTGGTGTCCATAAATCTGTAAAGGCAGAAGCAAGCGAGAATTTCCGGATCCACAATGTCCTACTGGAAGGATCGTCTTCTCTTCCAACGCCATCGTCTTCGGCCAATGGGAGACTCCCGGAAGCCGTAGCCATTTCAGACCATGGGAATGCAAGCTCTTGTAGCGTACGCACCTGCGGCACGACTGCACCATCTGGCGTAGACGTTGTACTTGTTGAGCGATGGTCACTTAGCACAGCACCTTCTTCTACTCCTTCTCCTGCAGCGCGTAAAATACGCAGATCTTCGACCGAAGCTACACGCCTCGACATGTCCGTTGCTCTGTCATTGTCGTCCAACGCACTTTGGTAGTCGACATGCCTAGACTGCTTACGTTAGAGCTGCTCACCCTAGTAAAGTAAGTAGTCTTCTCCTCCCATCTAATCATCGAATACTGACTACTGAATGAACAATGGACACGGAGAGGGAGTGCTCTGGTATTTGGTAGCCTGAATTTGATCACAAGGATTCCCTTCTTGCTTTCCTTATGATCCAACTGCTCGGGTACGGGTTACCAAATATCGGAACCATTCAAAGAAGTAGCCCCTTAGTAGTCCTTGCGTTAATATATTTGAAGAATTAACCACTCCAGCTAGTACTTCTGAAGATATTAGTTCATCTTTTTGCACATGGACGAAGACCACTACAAGAGAGAGTCTCTCTTGTAGTTAAGATTGGTAATAATGGGGTTGTAGAGTAGACGGAAAAAGAACCCCGAGAACGTCTTTCATCTTAAGATAATGACAAAGATATTAGTATTAACTACGAACATCCTAGAGCAGCAGCTTGATGCTGTCTCATCACGTCATGCTAGTACCTCTGTGTCCATCCTATCTACTGGTTTAGAGGTCGTGGCTCAGTCACCCTGTGCCGTCATCTCTACTTTTCCGCGTACCTACAAGTACTACAACGAAGGGAGGAGCCTCGACTAGTAATTTATTGTATGTGTACTTAGATTAGCATTAGTATAACAAGCCATAACTACGAGTGAGCGGCAAGTGAAGGTTGGGATTCCATCGTCGTCCGGGTAAGACCCTCTTCAATCGTAGTGCCCTACTCTGAGCAGTGTATGTACTATAAGTGCCAATTTGCTGGCCTTGGGCATCGCTTCGCTCCTCTTCCTTGGGGTCAAGAAGCTCTCCTCGGTTGGGGAGGGCGTTGTTATCTAGGATAGCGCCATCCGGCGAGACCATTGCCATCGAGGCTAGCGGCGCCTCCGTCTGTTCACGAGCAGAAGGCACAACTTCTAGCGGAGTTAGAGGCTCCGGCTCCTCTATCGGAGTTAGAAGAGGCTCCAAGAACATGCCACTCTTCGCAAGAACATGATCCCTAAGCCTGATTACATAACTTAAACTTTCTATCTTACTTATCAAGAGTCAGGAATGTAGATGTACTAGTTGTTACTTAGTGAAGGATATTTATTCGGTTCCAAGCCTCGCATGGCATGGAGTGCATGGATCACATGGAGTAGCATGGAGCTAAAGGAGGAGCTTCTTGCGCCCCTTAAAGCTCTGCGCTCCATGCACTCCATGGCTACCCCATGCACCATGCGTGCTATAAACTACTCTATAATATTATATCAATGTGAGAGCAACCCTTAATGCATCGTCGTCCCCACGAGAAGGTACAACCACCGGAGCGGCAGCAGCCGGCTCAGTGCTAGCAGTAAAGTAGGAATAAACGTCGCCAGCATCTTGCTCACGTAAGACGTTGCTCGGTAACGCCATTTCTTCTCGGGCTGCAGATGCCGCAGAGGATGCGGCGTCAGCGAGCCGTCTCAGATTGCCGTAGCATTCTTAGCGATACTAGATACAAAACTTCTCATTATACAACTACACCAGTCCTAGTATACACCGTCCCTGGTTCATCTTGAGACTGAGAGCTGCAGAGGATGGAAACGGATTCCCTTATCATGTTGGACATCTGAGGGGAATCCACTCAGCATAGATCTACGCTTGGGAAGATTATAGTGGGATAACGATAGTACAGAACTAGTGTGGTTATTTGATCTGTGAGAAGTAAACCCTAGTAGTGGTCTTTGAGTAAACCCTAGTGGTCTTTGTGATATTCAAAATCTTAATATTCCCTCCTGAATTCTGCGGCTCTTCCGTCTTTCCGTGCTTCCATAGCCTTTCTGCGATCCTCTTCCAGTTTTCTCCTCATTCTCACGCCGTGCTGCAGTCTTCGTGCAGCTTGTATCTCCCTCTCGTGCTGCAGTCTTTGTGCAGCTTCTTTCTCCTTCTCGTCCTCGGTTTTTAATGCAGAAGTACTACTACTAACCATTATATCACTGGTCATCTCCGATGTTGGCGCAAGGAAGATTAGAACTAGTAGGTACTATTAAGAGAAATAATTCCAAATTTTCAATAAGTAATTTCAAATTTTCTTGGGCCCCCATGTTGCTTCCCTGTGGAAAAACGGGAGGACCAAGATGTTGCTAGGGAGACAGAGGACGCATATGCATTCTCTAGCACAGTCATAATAAGAGAGATCGAAGCCGGTTCTCCTCCTGGTCTTGGAGTTTGTAATACACCTCTATACCGCAGAAGTGGAGCTCCTTACGTCCGCTACTTGGTTTTTTGCGGATTTCTACAACTGATTCGTCAGGCGGCATTGGCAATGGCTGTTTGATCGGCACCTTGATCATCATCACTGCTTTGTTATCTGGTGGCACGCTACTTTATTAGAGCTTCTTCCTTCGTTCTCTGCTGCATCCAGGTGCTGACAGCATTCAACGTCTTGCCAAGTCTTTCATTTCCATTTAATCGGGGAAAAACACTTTTTAGTTACGGTAGATTTTAATTGGGCGGGAAAAACACTTTTTAGTTATACGGTAGATGATGCTGAGAAAAAGGATCCTCTCTGTCTCTCCTCGGTTGTTGCCTTAACTACTGCTAGAAGAAGATGAGGCGCCATCTTCGTCCCCGCTGCCACGAGCACCCAATGCTTCCAGGTCGACGCCCTTCATGCGCCACGGCTTCTGTGCGACAGGCGAGTAACTTGGCGGCACCGACAACACTTCAACCGAAGCGTTCAACTCCGCTACAAACAAGTGATTCAAATAGAGATCCGCTTGGAGGATGTTCTCGAAGTGGCCTGCGTACGGCGTGGTCACGTTGCCCACGTCCTGCGATGCGCCGCCGATCGTCTTGGTCTGCAGCGGGAACGCCTCACCGCTCTGCGAGTAGCTCTGCGCACGGCTGTAGATCAGAATATAGGTGATCTCGTACGTCGTTGGAGGAATGAAAGTGAACTGATACGCGGCGTCCGTGGTGCCCCCGTAGCCAGCCACCGTGGCCCAGTCAATGTAGGCGCGCCACCACCCATACTCTGCTGCGTTAGCGTCTGTCGCAGCGCACGTGCTCCCAGCCAAAGTTAGACCTTTTTTTGAGTGCTTCTTTTTCCCCTTGAAAAAGAATATTAACCAAGAATGTATGATGCTGTAGTTCTACGGACATGCTTCAGACCCGGTAGCCTTAACAAAGCAAACGTCTGGGAACTAGGCACGCCAAGATTGCTGTTGCCATCTTCATCGGGGTCGAAGTGGTCCGGTCCTTGGTTCGACCGATATAAAACGCGTTCATTAGCGCTGCTAGTTTTTCACTATCTACTTCCCTTGTAGTTGAGTGGCAAACATACATGCCCTGCGGTCACCTCAGTTTCTTTCCCCTCTAAGAAACCAAAGGACGAGAC